CATTTTGCGTTGATCCTTTTTTTTCTTTTTCATTTTCATGCCTAGTCAAGGAACACTGTTATACACCCTCTACGCTGAAGCTTGAACAGAGCTGAATAAGGTGGTTGAAATAACTTCCATGCACGGACTCCTACATCATGCAACAAACCGTTTCCAAAAAGCTCACCATGACCCGAACTACTTCGCCTGTTAGGAACAACAGCGACGTCAGTCAGGGAAAACTTTCGTTGAAGATGATGTGGTCGATCTCATTATGGAATTGTCCACCAGGAGACTCCCCTGTCCAGAATAGGGCTTTTGGAAGAAATGGTATCGGTCGACATGATAATCTTGAACAGCCTTTCACCCTGCTCATTCCACACTGTTCCGTGAGTTCCGATGTGAAGTTCTATAGCTCTGTCCGATCTTAGCGTTGAAATCACCGACGATGACCTTGAAGAAGGTATGATCTTCCTTGTAGAACTTCTCCAATTCCATATAGAACGCTTCGAGCTCATCCTCGTCGTAGCTTGATGTTGGTGCGTAGGCGACGAAGATTGTCAAAGCTGGAGTTGAACCACATCTTCTCAATCGCAAACGTCCGATTCGGGTCGTCAGATTTTCGTACGAATCGATGTTCATGGCCAAGTGCGTGTTGACGAGGACGCCCACACCGCCAACGCCTCTGCTGTCGCATGTTCCGAGGAACAGTTCTTCTCCAGTCTCGTATACGGCGTGTAGCGGGCGATGCCTCCTCGTCTCGGTCACTCCAATGACATCGTTCTTCATGATCGTCCTGACTTGCATCACGATGTCCGATGTGAGCTTCCGATGCAAGCGTCCGTGCGTTGAAAGTACAGATCGTCATCCTAGTCCTGGGCGACTTAAATCTCCGTTGGCCCTGAGATTCTAGCAGCCTCGCCCGAGTGGTCCCAACCGACGCCGCCTTGTCGGTGGCCCTGTTAGGTTCAGGGCAATGAGGCCCATATCCATTACAGTTTTCGGCTTAAAAACCTCTACCACGCATAACTCTAGAGTGGCCCTCTGCGCATTCGTTTGGTTTGAAACAGTTCCGACCGTTCAGCCCCATGCCGCTGAGGCTGCGGATAGGATTTGTGGGGGACTCGCAAGTAAGAGATGAAAAAATGGGATTGTTTCAATTCCCGTTGCTTACTTTTCCGTTCTATTCCGTGCAAATGCAATCTTCCACAGAGTTTGCTCCCTGGCACTGCTAGATGTGCCATGCTCCTCTCCAAAACGGGCAATTGGAAACTTGTAATTCATAGTTTCAGAGTAGCACAATCCTCCGCCTAAACGCAAGTTCACCCTTATCTGCGCGGGTTAACCTCATCGGTAAGTAATGTCGCTGAGGTCGCATCTATTCCGTCAGTCGAAGGTGAGGAACAGAGAGCTATAGAATTATGCCATGGATCCAAGAAATCACATCAGGCTTGTCGCTGCTCTGAATGCACTTCGTGCCTGTCACATCTCTGCCCTCTGCATCTGGTTTCTCACCCACTGTCTTTATGATATAAGCTTGTGCATTGCTCAAAACCAGTTGGAAAGAGAAAGCATAAACGAAGAATTTTCAATGGTTTCCTTTACATTTTGTCTTAAAGCCTAACAGCTTAGGCTTCCATACTCGCAAATGTGCATGCGCTCATAAGAAAGCCTGCGGGAACCCCCGTTGGAGTTTGTTTTCCTTCTGATTCGGCTAGTCAGAGAATGTCGTGTTCGAAGCAATCAAATCGTTTTTGAGGCAAATATCGCATTTCCACCCTTCGGTTTACTTCAGAGCAAATGATGAAGAATATTTATTCAATAAGTTAATTGTGCCCGTAGAGCTATCATTCTCTTCCAGATCGCTGTTGGATCCTGCGGAGCCTATCTGCAGCTCGGCGTTGGTTTCTGCGATGCCTGCGAGCGTGTGCGATGCGCTTTCGTGCAGCACGTCGCTGGTTGCGGCGAAGGCGACGTTGGAAGCGCTGAAATGAAACAATTATCGGCAGTCTTCAACGGTTATGACCGGTATCTCGACTCACTCTTCTGGCGGCACGAGCGCGATGAGCACGACGAGCACGAACACGACGTCCGCGTCCACGTCCGCGTCGACGAGCTGCGCGCTTAACACGAGTAGACTCTTCTGTTTTCTGCAAAATCAAACATCAGTGAGTATGAAGGAAGTATCAAGATGAAGGATATGTCTACCTCAAGCTTATCGGCTTCGTCTTCTTCCTTGTCAAGGATCGTGGAGATCTGGAAACGGACTTTGAGGACGAGAGAGGAGAGGATGAGGAGATAGTTGGTGCAAACATACCAGAGTCCTCTCTTCCTCATCTTCTATGGCTGCGAGGGCGTCGTCTTCTTCTTTTTTGAGTGCTTGAAGTTTGTTCAAAATAGCCAGTCCGTCTTCAGTGAGTTCCTTCTCCTTCTGCAATGATTAACATTGTTGTCATTATCGTTGGGAACTCTTTTCCATGCCAGTCACTGAGAAAACGACTCACCTTCTCCTCCTCTGCGAATGCTATGGCAGAAACTGCCAGGAGTCCAATGGTTAGCAATACAGCCTTCATCTAAAAAATGGACATTTTCTGCTGCTGAAACATCTGTTTGTGCAAATAAATGGGAGAATGAACTCACTGTGGAAGCTGTGTTGCTTTCCTGTATTCATTAGGCTTTTCTTAGGGCTTTTATAGCGCTATGCATAGGCGTGAACATCGCGTAATGCCTCGCCGTGGGCGCTGTTCTGTTGTCTGGCACAGAAAAACTCGCCTTGTACTTGGTCTTGCGCTTATTTAGACGAGCACTGCGGACACTGGATCGCATTCGGTAATCTTTATTCGATTCTTATCGTCACATAGCCGCCTTGTTCTCGGCGCCAGGTGGACTCTTCGAAGACATCTCAGCATAGTTTCTAAAAAAGTATGAAAGGAAACGGGAAAAGAAGGTTTCCGTTCTGTTGAAGTACTCGGCACCTAACAAGGGAGGTCGTTCAGGTCATGGTGAGCTTTTTAAAACGGTTTGTTGCATGATGTAGGGTCCATGCAGGACCACACAGATGGGGTTCATTTTTGCTAAACGTTACTGGAAATGCCAAAAAAGGGGTGAAAAAATCGATAAGAAAGGGCGATTCAAATCACCTTATTCAGCTCCGTTCTAGCTGTAGCGTTGAGAGTGTATACTTTATGAGCTGTTCTTTGAATAAGTAAGTATTCTGGAGAAAATGCAAGCAAGGAAAACAAGAGTGTATGCTCTTGAACGAACTTAGTGGTTATTGTAAGGAGTTAGGTACACTGCGTATTCAAAATGACATAAGCGATCCAGTTCTGAAGAAATGGGGAAATGATACGGAATTCGGTCAGATGCCAGCGATCAGTACGCAAGTTATGGAATAGGGTATTCAAAAATTCATTCAAAAATGGGCGCAGGTCCAACAGGTTTTCAGAATTTAATAGCTGTCGGTTTAGTAGTGGCTTTTAAAGGCTGAACCTGCGACATCGCTTCCACAGATAATGGATTAGGAGTTGGCATATAGACGACAAGGTTCTAAGTAACTCAATAGTAAAGAAAAAAAGAAAAAAACATGCCAACTGCCGTAGATAGCACCCCATTTTGATCTCAGTACACGTGCCCAGCTAACCCCATCCCCAACACTATGCCTCATTCACATCTCTAGTTCCCCAAAGTACTCTAAGGTCGCACAAGTGACGACTTTCATGCTTTTTCGTCCTGCAGCTTAGTTTTTTTTCTGAAAGGCTGCCCTTGGAGGCGGAGGCGGAGTCACTGGAAAGAAGGAGGCGTCACTGAACCTATATTGCGCTAAAGCGCCCTCCCTTATAATTTTTCGCCGTCAATAGGTTGTTTGTCACGGACCACACTACCCTCCCGACGCCGTATTTGCAACTTCTAGCTGATCGCGGACCGTGCCTTTAATTTAGTAGTTGCCTGTTTGGTTTCAAACAACTGGAATCTTTAGTTTCTAGTACCCAAAGCTTACAGCAAGAGAGAAGCTGGAGAATATTAGTATTCAGCATTAGATTGTCGAGCAAGTTCAAGCTTTGGCGATTCTCGTCTATAGTCGATGTAAGAGAGGCGTGAAAGTTAAGTGACAAAGTCTGCACAAACACCGTTCATGGAACTTTTCGGTAGCGGGCAGATAGTTATAGTAGTTCTCAGAAAGTTTTACGAAAGTTATATAGTTCTCAGAAAGTTTTACGAACTTGTTGGGCACTTCAATAGTTCATTGGATTAGTCAAATGACCCCATTAATGTGCCAAGCTTTTTGGGTAAAACGAGATTTTGTGGGTGCAAAACTTCGATATAGTATAGCAAATTTGTTCCTTCCTCACTTCGCTCCATACTGTCAATTGATTTGTTTTGCTAGCCTTCGTTCAAGTTGACGTTCCAATGTGTCAACCCAGGGCGATAAAGGAGCGCTACCGTGGACAATTGATGAGCGCTACCCTCAACCCTACACTGCTCCTTACGCGCAAAGATGTGAAACGTCCTACTTGAGTCCGATTCCCGATTCATCTGAACTTCCAAGCAAAGGCATGATAAACCAGTCAAATTAATTCATTAGTTTGAAGTCGATTATGGCATGTGAAATTGTTTCTGTCTTCGCTTCAGTAGAGATTTAGTAGTTCAATGACGCAGATCAATAGTGAACGATTTAGTCCCCTAGAAAGTTATTCTCGAAATTGGCTAGTCAGTGAAAGTTCACGAAAAGACTTCGTTTGGAGCACAATGGCACCCAGATTGCACTTAACTGTTACGACGTTCACTTTCTCACAATTAGTTCTTCAGGGCCCTTCTCTCTTCAGTCAGGGAGACGCTTCCACGCCAAGGAGATGACTGCACTGATCTCTAGATGGGACACGCCGGAGTGACGCACTTTGTCCTGCTTGCTGTTGAAGTGACTGAGATGTGCGAATGAGAGAAGACATTGTATTTTGGATTTTAGCCTCATTTGGAGATGTTTTTAAGAGTTGTTGTACTGAGTAGAGTTTAAGAGTCGCTATCACTTCTCTACTCCATTGTTCTACCAGATACTCTAGTCCACTCTCGATGACTTCATACACGTGAAATTTTATGATCAAACAGTTGCACGGAGGCAAAGACCGAGTGGCAAGAGGCATCCCGCCTCTGGGTGTAGACATCAGGATCTAAATGGTTTGGCTCCATCATGTCGATTCAACTAGCTATGAAATGCTTGTTGGATTGTGTATGCCTCCGCAGCGCAACGCAGTGGATGTAAATTCCTGCGCTAATGTCTACTGCTACACTGGCTGCTGAGGGTGAGGGTCTCGTCCAGTCTATCTAGAATTACCTTGGTCATGTTTGGTTACCTTGTTCATGTTGTGCTATTAGTCAAAACTGGTGGTTTGACCCTCAGTTTATGATGGAAACGAGAACCCCTACTGATGTGCTAGCGAGCTTCTAGCACAGATGTCATGTCCAGAAATAGCGAATATTACACTTTTATTCTGAATGGCCCTTTCGTAGTGGAATACTTCAGCCAACTACTGGAAATGAAAACCTTTCAAAGGAGTTTTCTGGAACTCAGAAGAACAGTGCTTCCCTATCCGCTGGATATCTTCTCGTACATTACTCTGGAAGTTATTCCTAGTTACGCGTGATGGCTGCATAGTTATGGTACTCACCACGTACTCTAAAGTCATTCCCTCTTCGAAAGCCGCTGTTTTTTCCTCACATCAAGCCGGCGTGATTTTGTTCTCGTCTATGTTCAATACAGTATCTGGAAACCAATTAGAAAATCAGGCCATGCAAAAAAAGCCAGGAAAACTGTTGCTGCACCAACAAACTTTTCGAACGTTTCGCGATCGGAACTGCGCGGAATGCGCCCTACACGGCAGAAAATAGGGTAATTTCTGGCCAGTACGGATTTCCATTACACCTCTGCTAGCATGATTGTTGCCACTTCCTTGAAGATGCCTCGCAGAGTTAACAAGAGGAAGAAGGCAATTACCGATGTAATTGTATTTGTGAATCCATACCAAGCTCACGTCAAAAAAACCGCTTTTGGTCCAGCGGTCCTGTCTCTCTCCCCTCAAGCAGTTTTTAATGACCACAATCGGATTGTGGACCGTATCTGATATTCGTACAGTTTGCTACCGTTAAATCTGTGATCCCACATCATCGCATCGCTACTATTCTTAAGCTCTTCCCAAATCGTCCATGGTCCTTTTTGTTCTGAAGCTTTATGGAAATCTGTGGCCTTCATAAGCCTTCTGCTGAGTACCACTCGGCCTGACAAAATATGTCGAGGCGATTCTTGTAGGTCGTTAACTTCCTATCGGAGGGAACAGTAGAATTTCTTTACCGCTTTGGACACTCGTGAGCCCTCAAGGGAGGCTCTATAGACAATCGCCATGTTAAGCTTTCCAAGTCCAAGAACAAAAATCAGTTCTGAACAGGCGTTCTATCACATTCGTGTTCCTTGTGCAGATACCATGGAACCAATTCAATTTTTCGTATTGTTATTCTAGAAGCTAATCATTGTTGATATAGGAGCAGATTTGGTATGAAGAAAAAATCTGAATTTTTACGCCCAGTTTCATATTGTCTATAAACAATTGTTTTTGAAGCAAATATTGTTGATCGCTCATAAGTTTTGATTTATACAAACAATGTAAGAAAAAGGCACACTGTGTCTCGGCAGGGGCTCCTCCGTGATATCAAGCTAAGTGATGTTCTGACGCGAATGAAGTCCTACCGTCTTGGAGCACCCGGCTAGATTCGAAGGAAGGTAAGAAATGCGGCACAAATGATCAAAGGTGGAGTTTTTGGTCTGAATTGCGTGTAAATAAATTGGAAAAGCTTTCCTCAGCTGAAAGGCACAAATCTGCGTAGTAGAAGTAGCACAGCACGGCTTTTCATTAAAGCTAGGCATAGTAGGAACTACGAAGCGAAAAAAGTAGAAAAAAAAAAAACGAACAACCTATCTTGATACGTGATAGAGTGGAGGTTTCGCAATCGGACAGTGAGGGTGGGGTTGATGGTTCGGCTCCCCTTGCGTCGTGGCTTTTTGCATTTTTTAGATTTCGCTGTTCTCGCTTCCATTAGTGTCTACGCATGAATATAACTCGGATATTTGCCATTTATGGGCACATTCTGAGTAGTTACACCTCGAGTAGAGTGCTATTCACTTATTTTCGATTTTCACGCACCATTGAACAAGACTGTTGCTGGACGTTGTTCCTCATAGGCTATACAGTGGATCTGATTGCGAATTTAGTAACTTCTGGTGTGGTGTCAATTATAGACAATTTGGGGCCACATCTTCTTTCCACTGAATTCGTTATGTACACCCATGTAGGGAACGTTCAGCGCTATTCTGTCGCCAAATTGCGTGGACGCCAAGAATAGGTGTTATATTTGTGATCAGGGCCACTGATTACCACTAAAACGAATTTTTTGGTTAAAACAATTGTTTTGACCTTCTTGGGTTTGCTTATTGGGTTGTCCGGTGTCCGTAGCGCCAACGATACGCCAATCGCTAGATTACGAAGATCTATGCTAAAACGCTCACCTGCCGACCAAATGCGTCGGT